TAATCGGGTCGACAAACATGACCAGGCCCCGATCACGCGGCCGCCGTGGCGCGTTTGATTCGCAGAAGAAAAACACTCCGAGGCAATTAGGAGGGGATGGTCGCTTTTCTTAATGAGTTGGGGGAAAACATCTGGTGTCCTGTCGGCCCGTCCCGCCCCACCCCACCCTCCCCACCCCGCCCCGTGTCCCACGGTGCGCCTTCCATGATCAGGCGCGGCGGGGCGGGGTGGGTCGGCGTTGGTGCGGTGGCCCGGGGGCGACCCACCGACAACACCGCCTGATCAATTCCATTTCCCGCTCTGCCCCGCGCCGCCGCCGTCGCAGAGCCCGAGCCCGAGCCCGGCCCGGCCGCGCCCCGCAGTCGGAAACGATTCGACTGGCCTGGTCGCGGCCATCGTTTCAGTCCACTAATTTTCATCCGCTCCTGTTTACCTTTGCGGCGGCGGACGGCGCCCCGCCCCGCCACGCCCCGCCACGCCCCTATTGAGCGCATGTGGCGGGGGGTGGGGAGGGAGGGAAGACCACAGCTGCTGAGTCACGGCGCGGCGGTGGCGCGGGGCCGAGCGGAGCGACCACCACCGACCGACTATTTGATTAGGGTAATTGAATGTTACATTTCGGGCTGTGGCGCGGACGCCAGGCCACGCCACACTACGCCACGTCCGCCCCACCACCACACTCACTCTCACTATACATATATTTGGGAGGGGCGGGCGTGGCGCGCAGTTTGTAAACGCGAAATCTAAGAAACCTTACAGAAATTCGGAAAATTTCATAGTAATATGCACGCAAAAAAAATATAGCACCCTAGCTATTTTTTTAGCACTGGTGCTAAAAATTCGTCAGCATAGGCCCAGCTAATTTTTTTAGCTCCAGTGCTAAACTTTTAGTTGTACAGCTAACTGAAGCAATGGTCTAGCTGTATCACCAATACTATTTAGCAGTACAGCTAAATATTTTATCCTGTAGCTACTTTTTTGGCAGGGGTGCAAAATTTGCCTGCTAAATCGATTAGCACGGAACCGATTTTTATTTTTTTCCGTGTGACGCAAGCATCCATGATGCGTTCAATAACTGTTAGACAGTAACCGCGTCCGACAGGACAGGTTCAGGACAGCGTTGTGGCCGGTGAGACACACACATTCATGGATCCCTCCCTCCCTCCCTCCCTCGCCCGCGGGCGCTGCCGCTTGCTGCTCCTGCGTTATGCAGATGGTAACAATGCGCACACGCGCGCTCGCTCAAGACGATTGTCGTGTCAGCTCCAGATCGAGCTGGAGCTAAAGCCGAGCAGAGCGGGGCTGAGCGGAGACGGGCCGAGGCCGAGGATACGGCGCGCATCGTTTGAATATAACCCAATCAAAGGCGGTGCGCCGTTGTGTTTGCTCTGGATGCACTGCTCGGCCGAGGGTGGGCGCGCCTCGCGTCCACGGCAGGGCGGGGCAGGGCGGGGCGGGGCACGGAGGATTAAAATAATAATGAGCCGGGGTGCGGTGGGGCGGGGCGGGCGCGGTGACCGGCCGCGGCGGCGCGTTGCGGACCTTTCACACAATGGGCCGCGGTCATTCCGAGGGAATCACTCGCCCCCCTCCGCCCCGCCGCCCCGGGCCGCGCCCGCTACAAACGGCCCCGCCTTTGTTTAGGTCGCGGGGCGGCCCCGCGCTTTTATTTCCGTGTTCCACGCGCGCGGGGCTCCGCTCCTGGTTCCGCCCCAGAACACTGACTGTCGCGGTCACCTTTGCACCGCACGGGGCTCTGCAGGGCCCATAGAGGCGTTAGGGAGTACAACGAGGACGGTGAGGTCGTCTGTCAAGCGAGGTGGATGCCCTGCGGGCTATACTCGTCTATTTGGCAATCAGGCAGTGACCGGGAGGCAGCATGTGCCGGGTGTTTCAAACACCCGTTACAGATTAAACTTTCTCTATCTCACTCGCACAACTACAGCTAGTCTACAGAGCTTTGGGGCAGTCAGTCCTATAGAGCGTGTATCGCTAGATTAGATCCGGAACAAAACCGAGCAGAGAAGCGGCGAAAAAAAAAAGTTAATTAATAAAGGTTTGTGGCGTCTTCCATTCTTTCTAATCAGCGAAATCCTTAACCCCCACTCCCCCACCACAAGCGGACCGCTTTCATTTAAAAAAATAAAGCAATCACCGAGGCGAAAGCCGCCGCCGCCGGACAAAGAATGCGCTGATTTTGACAAAGGGTCTGTGTAATTGACGGAGTAAATGTGAGTGGAGGGTGTGGAAGGGGAAACGGATCAAGGCAGGGGGTGGGGCAGGGGGGGTAGGGGAAAGCTGAGCTTGTTTGATGAGTCGCTATATTGATGAATGAATGGCCTTCATTACTTTGCTGCAGCAGGGCGCGCGCGCGGCAGTGCCGCGGCCAAAGCGGCAAATTAAGTAGACTCGAAAAGGCGCAATCAATACTTTTAACAGAAGCGACCAACTGCCACCGCTTCCCTTTTTTCCCCAGCGTTCTTCTTTTTCTTTTTTTTTTTTATCCCGTTTTCTTTTTTTTTTTTATCCCGTCAGCATAATCACCCCACGCAGTGCATCCGCGTGAGCGCGCGAGGCATATGTGGCTGCGGCCGCGAGCGCCACCACCACGGCGCGAGCTCCTCTGCGTGTCCGCGCGCGGGCCCGCGTGCGCTCAAACAGGGGGCCCACCCGCGCTGTACGCTTAAACCCCCGCCCAGCAGCCTTTCCTTTTTTGTGCGCAAAGATAATGCCGTGTGGGAGGCGGCAGCACGCGCGCGCGCGCGCGCGCAAGTGCACACACGACGCCTGAGCCGGGCCGGGCCGGGCCCCACACCCTCGCACATTACACACTTTTCCCTGGTTTTATTTAATATTCCGAGGTGCGCGGCTGGAGCGGGCCGGGAAGCCCCCATTGTCCCCCGCGCGGGCCGGCAGCGCTCGCGGGGCTCCCACTCCTGGGGCTCCGTGTCCGCCGCGGGGCCGCGGGGGCCGCGAGCAGCGCGCGCTGCTTGGCGCCGCCCATCCCTTGTGTCTCGCGCGGGGCGCGGCTCGCCGGGCTGGGCCGGGCCGGGCGGCGCCTAGCTCGCAGGAAGGGTGGGTGTTCTCGCCACACCCTCTAGCCAGAGCCAAGCTCGTGCCAATTAAGCAGTTGGGGTGGCCGCACACAGTCTCATTAACGGACTGCCTGCTCTCGCTGTGCTCGCGCTGTGCTCTCGCTGTGCTCTCGCTGTGCTCTCGCCACGTTGCCATGTTGTTGGGTCGCTGCTGCTGCCGCTTGTTGTGTTGCCCCGTGTTGTTGCTGCTGCTGCCTCTGTTGTTATGTTATTGTTTTTTCTCGTTTTGATATTCTTGTGCCGGCCGGGCTCCCGTACTGCACGGGTGCTGCTGCTCCTACTACTCACTGGGCTCATAAGGCTCGTTCCGTTTTCGTGTTAATGACGACGTGATTGTGCGTGTGTGTGTGCTAAAGGGAGTACAGAAGTAGCTGTATGGAAGATTCACGCGGGGTAAGCGACTCACGTAGCTCGTAGCTCTGGCGTACGCGTCCGTCTTGAAGGAGCGGCAGAAAGAGAGAAAGAGAGAGCGGGAGAGATGGAGGTGGGGAGTGATAGAACGAGTGGTTGGGCGGGGGCCACACCGCGCCAGAGATAATGAAAACAGAATTATATGCGTCCGAAACGATAACAGCGGCCGCTCCCCCGCGGGGCGGAGAGGCCTGCCGGGCCTCTGCCGGGCGCTGCCGGGGCCGAGGCCGGCGCGGCGCGCTGGAATGAGTTTTAGCATAAAGGATCTCGGCATTTAAAACGGAGCAATCCAGCCTTAATGGCTGTATGAGCCGTGGGCGGCGGCGGGGGCGCGGCGGGGCGCGG